AGAGTGAGACTCTGTCTCAAAAAAAAAAAAAAAAAAAAATTAGCCTGCTGTGGTGGCATGTATTTGCAATCCCAGCTACTCAGGAGGCTAAGGTATGAGAATCACTTGAACAACCCAGGAGGCAGAGGTTGCAGTGAGCTGAGATTACAACATTGCACTCCTGAGCAACAGAGCGAGCCTCCATCTAAAATAATAATAACAAACTTACTGTCTACTGTGTGTATCTAAACACAACATGTACAAGTAAATTAAGTAAAACAAAACTGTATAGATGATAAAGAAAAGGAAGCAATGGTTTTTTGTGCATGTTTTAGCTTTTTACATACTTCTGAATCATTAGCTTCTGTATTTATTCAAAATGTCATCCCTTGAAATAGGACTGTAACGTTTTCATGCCTAAGCTTTATATCCATATCTTGGTGTCCATAATCAATCTTTTCTGGAAACCCCTCCCTTTTTTTTAATCTTTTTTTTTTTTAAAGACGGGGTTTCACTATGTTGGTCAGGCTGGTCTTGAACTCCCGACCTCAGGTGATCCACCCGCCTTGGCCTCCAAAGTGCTTGGATTATAGGCGTGAGCCACTGTGCCCGGCCTTTTTTTTGTCTTTTTCAAATGAGTCTTGGAGCTGTTGGTTGGTTGTGACTTCCCACTTATCTGCCCACAAAGATGCAGAAGGAAGACAGCAGGCATCACCCAGGCTTCGGAAGAGGAGAACCCCCAAATATTAACCAGAATTCACTGGAAAGTTCAGCAGACCATTCTGAGAAAAACATTTGAAACTGAGAGTAGTTCTGCAGACTCCACTGTGAATGAGTGCAAAGAGTTTAAATATGTCTAAAACTGTGGAATAGTCTAGGCCCTATGATCTCATGAAACTAACAAACCAAAGTTCCTTTCCAAAACAAAATGCTGCTGTTAGGGAAAAAACTATGTTTGCATTCTGCTGGAAGGGATTGCTAAGCACAAAATAAACAATACAGAACAAAAGAAAGGAAGGTTCAGATAAAAGGAGGAGGCAGATCTCTGATAACTTCAAAAAGCAACTAAAAGGTTGGGTGTGGTGGCTCATGCCTGTAAACCCAGCTACTCAGGGGCAGAGAGATTGCAGTAAGCTGAGATCCTGCTACTGCACTCCAGCCTGGGCTATAGAGTGAGACTCTGTCTCAAACAAACAAATAAAAAACGCTCCAGGGTGTGGAGGCTCATGCTCATAGTCCTGCCCTACATTGGAGGCTTAGGTGGAAGGATTGCTTCAGCCCAGGAATTTGAGATTAGCCTCAAACACAGTGAGACTCAGTGAGTAAGGAGAAAAAAAACCCAAAAAACCTTTGGGACAATTTAAAATCTTATAGTTGGCCAAAATATGTTTTAAAAAAGCAAAATAAAAATGCTCGTAGACAAAAGATGAATCTATCACCTGTACCCTGCACTATAATGTGTTAGAAGACATCATTTTTATTTGAAATTTTCTATATTAGGCTAGGCACAGTGACTCACACCTATAATCCTAGAACTTTGGGAGGTCAAGGCGGGCAGATCACTTGAGGTCAGGAGTTTGAGACCAGCCTAGCCAACATGGCAAAACCTCGTCTATACTAAAAATACAAAAATTAGCCGGGTGTGGTGGCACACACCTGTAATCCCAGCTACTTGGGAGGCTGAGTCAGGAGGCTCTCTTGAACCCAGGAGGCAGAGGTTTCAGTGAGTTGAGATCGTACCACTGAACTTCAGCCTGGGCAACAGACACTCCATCTTGAAAAAAAACAATAAAATGTTTGAGATAATGAAATAAGATATAATCTTCAGCAATTATTTGTTCCAAAAAAAGAGGGACCCCACCTATTCTGAGATGGAACTGTTAGGAACAGGAACTATGTTCACTAAACTATGTGACTGGAAGCAGTGGAGAGAGGCTTTAATGAGCTTGGATTTCCAGAGCTGGCAGTTCTCATAAAATAGCAAACGAGGCCTGGCACGGTGCTTACACCTATAATCCCAGCACTTTGGGAGGCCAAGGTGGGTGGATCACAAGGTCAGGATTCACATGGCTAACAGGTTCACGTGGCTAAAACGGTGAAACTGCATCTCTACTAAAACCACAAAAAATTAGCTGGGCGTGGTGGCATGTGCCTGTAATCCCAGCTACTCGGGAGGCTGAGGCAGGAGAATCACTTGGACTGAGGAAGCAGAGGTTGCAGTGAGCCAAGATCACACCACTGCACTCTAGCTTGGGCAACAGAGCAAGATTCCATCTCAAAAAAAAAAAGAAAAAAAAAAAAGGCAAATAAACCATCTGCAAAGTAGGTACATCATATACAATGATAATAACTAAAGTTGATTGGTAGGTACAGGTAACAATATAACTATCCTTTTTTTCTTCTCAAAGATGGGGGTTTTCCTGTATTAGCCAGACTGGTCTGGATTCCCTGGGCTCAAGGGATCCTCTCATCTCAGCCTCCTGAGTAGCTGGGACTACAGGCACATGCCCCTCAACCAGCTCTATAATTATTATTTAAGTTCGCTCTTTCTAATGTTTTTCATAATACATAGTTTTAAAAATAAGGTTAAAAAGAAAAAGCAAATTGATAACACCATCACCTTGAATGAATGATAAAGTGGTTGGGAAACATGGCTGGAGGCAAAATCAAACTTGTACCCTCAGATCCAAAGAAGTAACACCACTGCAACAGAAGAGTGAGACACTGAACTACCTGTAATGGAAAGTATAGAATATACTGGCCCATTCTTTCCAGCGGCCTCCTGACTTTTTTTTTTTTTGAAATGGGGTCTCACTATGTTACCCAAGCTGGTCTCTTAATACCTGGACTCAAGGGATCCTCCTGCCTCAGCCTTCAGAGTAGCTGGGACTAAAGGTGCACCACCGTACCTGGCTCACCAACCTCCTGATTCTATTCCAGGAAAACCCATCTCAATCAAATATGACCAACATACAAGATTTAGTCCTAGATCTAGGTGTGTTTTATTTAAACCTGGTAACTACCCTCTTGAAGCAGGACAAGTGGGCTCCCTGAGAAGAGGGACAGACTACAGAGAGGGCACAGGGGAACAGTACTCACTGGAACTGGCTTAGTTCTGTGGTATCAAGGACACTCTGGAATCACTCATGCTGATTAAAATACGTGGCTGAGGAGTCACGAAGGATACCCTATTCATCAGAGTATTGTGGAAATAAACATCATATACTTGAAAGTATTTTCAGTCAGCCTTGGCCAAAATGAAAATTAAAGAAACTATAGATCAATTTGGTGTCAGATAAGGAAAAATAAAAAGCCTGGAGGCAGGATAGACTTTGAGTTACAAATACTTCAATAATTATAAATGCAGATCTAAGTTATTTTTTAGGGCAATATGATAATGAAGATTAAATCAAGGAAACATCATGTATGGACAATTACCAATGACACCCTGGGAAAACTCACATCAATGTGGGGCACATTTCTTCCTGAAACTTAAATGTATACATGCTGTCTTCTGCAAACTTCAATCTATTTCTTATTCAGTTAGCTCAAGGAGTCCATAATGTGTAAGTTGCACAGTGGAAAAGTTTTAACCAGTAATCCTGATATATGTTCAATGGTAGAAATTCTGCTTTTAAAACTATGCTTTTCTAGGAATGTGATTATGAACCCATTACCTAAACTTTCACCTCAGTTTCTTTTTTAAAATTTTTTAATTTTTAAAAATACAGATGAGGGTCTCGCTATATTGCCCAGGCTAATCTCAAACTCCTGGGGTACAGCGATCCTCCCACCTCAGCCTCCCAAATTGCTGGAATTACAGGTGGTAGCCGTCACACCCAGCCCACCTCAGTTTCATCAAGCATAAAAGGGGAATGTTAGGAGTACCTACTTTAGGCTGGGCATGGTGGCTCATGCCTGTAATCCCAGCACTTTGAGAGGCCAGGGCAAGTGGATTGCTTGAGGTCAGAAGTTTGAGACCACCCTGGCCAACATGGTGAAACCCTGTCTCTACCAAAAATACAAAAATTAGCTGGGTGTGGTGGCCGGGACCTGTAATTCCAGCTACTCAGAGGGCTGAGGCAGGAGAATCACTTGAACCCCGGGAGGCAGAGGTTGCAGTGAGCTGAGATTGCACCACTGCACTCCAGCCTGGGTGACAGAGTGAGACCCTGTCACACGCACAAAAAAGAGTACCTTGGCCGGGCATGGTGGCTCATGCCTGTAATCCAAGGACTTTGGAGGCCAAGGCAGGCGGATCACCTAAGGTCGGGAGTTCAAAACCAGCCCGACCAACATGGTGAAACCCCATCTTTAATAAATTAATTAATTAATTAATTAAAAAGTACCTAATTTATAACAGGCTTTGTAAATTTATTGCATGAATATATTAATGTAAGGCATTTATTCCATTGATTAATGTAAAGGCATTAATACACTACAATAATGTGTGGCACTTTGTATGCACAACATACATATTTTTAAAAAATTTATTTTAGTTTAGAGTATGACTGAAAATGAAGTCTTTTCACTTAAAGATATAAGATATTGAACATAGGCTATATAATTTCATCACATTTCTGATAATAACTCACTGCCTATGACCCTACTGATCTTATAGTAGTTAACATCCTCTGCATATTGACTGTGAGTTAGGAAAATATTACCAATTAAAACATGTTCATGGTTTCATAGAAAGCAAATTTTAAAAACTAATTCTTATTTTGCTATGTAATATGGCATATACTTTTCTGGCTGGGCGTGGTGGCTCATGCCTGTAATCTCAGCACTTGGGGAGGCTCAGGCTGGCGGATCACTTGAGGTCAGGAGTTCAAGCCCAGCCTAGATAACATGGTGAAACCCCATCTCTACTAAAAACACAAAAAATTAGCCAGGTGTGGTGGCACACACCTGTAATCCCAGCTACTACTCAGGAGGCTGAGGCAGGAGAATCACTTGAACCCAGGAGGCAGATGTTGCAGTGAGCTGAGACCGGGCCACTGCACTCCAACCTGGGTGAAAAAGTGAGACTCCATCTCAAAAAAAAAAATTATATACTTTTCTTCATAACTCAAAATTATAATTTATAAATATATACAGAGTAGAATATATATTTTCACACAAAAATGATAATTTTCTGTATAATTTTCACAAAAATTATGTGAAACCTATTGTAATGACTACTCAGAGAGGAGGTAGAATGGAACTGACAGAAATGGTCATCAAGTACTTTTGTTTTATCTCCATTATATTAATTTGTTTATTATTTTTTAAAATTAGAGACAGGGTCTTGCTCTGTCTTAGGAGTTCAAGACCAGTCTGGACTACATGGTGAAATCCCATCTCTCAAAATGGGTGTTGTGGCACATACCTGTAGTCCCAGTTGCTTGGGAGGCTGAGGCGCGAGGATCACTTGAGCCTGGGAGGTTGAGGCTACAGTGAGCCGAGGCTGCGCCACCACACTCATGCTTGGATGACAGAATGAAACCTGTCTCGAAAAATAAGAAAAAAGAATGAAGAATGAGAATATAAATTTGAGTTTGGAAATAGGCACATTTCAGCCACTGAACCATCAAAACTGCTATGGTCTCAGGGAACACATATTTCCATTATTATTAGAAAATTTGGGTTGGGCACTGTTGCTGACATCAGTAATTTCAGCATTTAGGGAGGCAGAGGCAGGAGGATAGCTTGAGCTCAGGAGTCAAGACTAGCTTGGACAACATAGTGAGATCCCCACTTGCCACAAAAAAGAAAAAAAAAAGAGATTTGGCAAAACATAAATGTCTTTTTACATGGACAGTCTCAGTTTTCACATTTATAAAATAAAAAAGAATAGTTTTATTTTATTGAGTAACTTTGTAGATTATGTGCAACGAGACCTCATTTCCCTCTTCCTTTTCTCCTGTATTGTTTTTTTTTTTTTTTTTGAGACAGAGTCTTGCTGGAATGCCCAGCCTGGAGTGCAATGGCATGATCTCAGTTCACTGCACCTCCACTTCCCAGGTTCAAGAGATTTCTCTGCCTCAGCCTCCCAAGTAGCTGGGACTACAGGCGCATGCCACCATGATGGCTAATTTTTGTGTTTTTAGTAGAGACTGGGTTTCACCATATTGGCCAGGCTGGTCTCGAACTCCTGCCCTCAAGTGATCCACCCATCTCGGCCACCCAAAGTTCTGGGATTACAGGTGTGTGCCACTGTGCCCAGCCCAAAACCTTCTTGATTGAGCCCGAGAGTGACACTCTGAAGTGATGATGCCCCAGCCTCGAGAGGCCATACATTCTTCTGTGCTTGCTCTCATGTCTGCCTTCTCTCTCACCCACTCTCTCTCCCTCCAAGCCTGGACTAGCCTGCTAGAGGATGAGAGACTGTAGAGAAAAGAGACCATATTCCGCAACACAGGCAATTTTAAATGAGTTTACAGCTAGTCAACCTTCAAGCATGCAAGAGATGCTAGCCAAGATCAGAACTGCCCATCCGGCTTATAGATTTATAAACAATAAGAAATGCTTATTTTTTTTTAAACCACTGAAATTATATTAAACAACCATGGCTACATTATACATACATTTGTTCTTCGTACATATCAATTTTCTGAACTGTCTTCTGTTCTCTCAGCTCTTACCACGTTCCTGTAGCCTGTACTTCCACATTACCATTCTGCTGGGGATTTTCTGCAAAAGTCTTAGCCATGTACTGTATGAGGTGTAAAGAATAACAATTCTGTTTGGTATGTAATATATTTTTCCACATTCCCTAAATCTGGGGTCCCCAACCCCTGGGCTACGAACTGGTACTGGTCCACAATCTGTTACGAACTGGGCCACACAGCGGGAGGTGAGCGGTGAACAAGTCAGCGAAGCTTCATCTGTATTTACAGTTGCTCCCCATAGCTCATGTTATTGTGAGAGCTCCACCTCCTGTCAGATCAGCTGATAGCATTAGATTCTCATAGGAGCATGAACCTTATTGTGAACTGCACAGGCGAGAGGGATCTAGGTTGCATGCGTGTTATGAGAATCGAATACCCTATGATCTGCCAGTGATCTGTCGCTGTCTCCCATTACCCCCAGATGGGACCATCTGGTTACAGGAAAACAAACTCAGGTCTCTCACTGATTCTACATTATGGTGAGTTGTATAATTATTTCATTATATATTACAATATAATAATAATAGAAAGAAAATGCACACTATATGTAATGCCCTTGAATTATCCCAAAACCACTCCCCAACCAGTCTGTGGAAAAATTGTCTTCCACAAAACCAGTCCCTGGTGACAAAAAGTTTGGAGACTGCTGCCCTGAATGCTCTGGAAAGAGCTTTTCATACCTTTCAGTAAATACATATGTTTTATGAGATGGGGTCTCACTCTATTGCCCAGGCTGGTCTTGAGCTGGGCTCAAGTGATCCTCCCACCTTGGCCTCCCAAAGTGCTTGGATTACAGGTGTGAGCCATCATGCCTGGCCTCTTTCAGTAAATATCTATTAAGCACCCATTGCATACATGCTGCCACGCTAAGTTCACTAGCAGATGGAAGGATGAGTATGAAACTGCATGATGGGATAGCACAAGGCATCAGTGTTCAGGTACTGGATAACTTTATAATAAAAAAAAAAAAAAAAAAAGAATTTGTATGTTCTTCTCTCCCAGCGCAATGCAAAGTTGTTTTGTTTTTAAGGAAGCCAAATGGGCTAGAATACCTTCTAACAAAACATTCCCTAAATAGGTAACATGTGGAGCACTTTCGTATAGGTGCCAAAAAATCGAATTTAGCACTAGAAGAGAGAATAGAAAGAAAAAAAACCATGAGCATAGATGGAAAGATAACATTTCCAGTCAGTAGAAACAGAAAAAAGTGACCATTAATGTACAAGAAAACTAAAATTTTTAATTCACAACATTGAAAAGCAATTATGGATGGGTTCAAAAGCTAATTTTTGAAGTTTATATTACAATAATAAAAGAAAAAATCTTTTAACATAAAATAAAATTCTCCAGTAGAGGAAATATTGCAACACATATAAATGAGAAAAGAAAAATATTTCTATTTTACAAGGAATTTGAACAAAATAAGAAAAACTAATTCCATCATAACATTGGATCAATGGCATGAAAAAGAAATGTCTGGAGGAGAGTATAAATTATTTTAATTTTTTTGAGATGACGTCTCACTCTGTTGCCCAGGCTAGAGTGCAGTGGTTCGATCTCGGTTTACTGCAACATCCGCCTCCTGGGTTCAAGCAATTCTCCTGCCTCAGCCTCCTGAATAGCTGGGATTACAGGTGAGTTCCACTGTACCAGGCTAATTTTTAATACTTTTGGTACAGATGGGGTTTCATCATGTTGGCCAAGCTGGTCTCGAATTCCTGATCTCATAATCCACCTGCCTTGGCCTCCTAAAAATAATTTTTTAAATGGTGAAAAATGCTCTTCACTAGTCATTTATAATATGTAAATTAATTCAATAATGAATTAATTTTTTTTCCCAAAAAACTGTCAAAAATTTTCAATATTAACTATCACAAAAAAACAAAACAGAAGACTGGCAAAAAAAATTTTAGTTATAAATCAAGACTTATCAGTAAAGTAAGGAATGTATGCCCTAATTTATTATTAGTGGGAATGTAAATTGGCACAGGATTTGAGGGGAATGTAACATCTTTCATTTTAATATACTCCATACCATGTAGCCCAGAATACTTATATAAGAATTTTAAATGATCAGTAGGAGACTGATTCTACCATCTTAACCATTTGCTAGCATATGGTTCAGTAGTGTTAAGTACATTTACACTTTCGTGTATGTAATCTCCAGAACTTTTCATTCTGCACAACTGAAACTCTATACCCACTGAACGAACAACTCTCATTCCCCTCTCCCCTGACTTTTTCCTCCTCCTCCACCTCTTCCTCCTCCTCCTCTTCTTCTTCCTCTTCTTCTTCTCCTTCTCCCTTCTTCCTTCTTCCTTCTTCCTTCCTCCTTCTCCTTCTCCTTCTCCTTTCTTTTTACACATATATATAGAGAGATGAGGTTTTACCATGTTGACCAGGCTGGTCTCAAACTCCTGACCTCAGGTGATCTGCCCACCTCTGCTTCCCAAAGTGCTAGGATTACAGGCATGGGTCACCAAGCCTGGCCTCTTTCTTCTTTTTTTGAGATGAGATCTCCCTGTGTTGTCCGGACTGGAGTATAGTGACATGATCATAGCTCACTGTAATCCAAATCTCCTGGGCTCAAGCAGTCCTCCCACCTTGTCCTCCCTAGTAGCTAGGACCACAGATGTGCACCAGCATGCTTGGATAAAATTTTTTCCTTCTTTTTTTTTTTTTAAGACAAAGTTTTGTTTTTTCACTCAGGCTGGAGTGAAGTGGTGTGATCTTGGCTCACTGCAACTTTTGCCTCCTGGTTTCAAGCAATTCTCCTAACTCAGCCTCCTGGGCAGCTGGGATTATAGGCACTGGCCATTCCGCCTGGCTAATTTTTGTATTTTTAGTAGAGATGGGGTTTCACCATGTTGGTCAGGCTGGTCTCAAACTCGACCTTAGGTGATCCACCTGCCTCGGCCTCCCAGAGGGCTAGGATTACACATGTGAGCCACACACCTGGCCAAATTTTTTTTATTTTGTAGAGATGGAATCTCACTATGTAGCCCAGGCTGGTCTCAAACTCCTGCCTTGGCTTCCCCCTGTGTTGGGATTACAGGTGTGAACCACCATGCCCAGCATAGACCCTGCTTCTGATTTTTTTGGGTATATACCCCTAAGTGAAATTGCTGGATCATATGGTAATTGTTTTTAATTTCTGAGGTACCACCATAGTGTTTTTCATAGTGGCAGCACCATTTTACATTCCTGCAAGCATTCTAATTTCACCCCGCCCTCACCAACACTTGCTATTTTCTGTTCCTTTGATAGTTGTCATTCTAATGTGTGTGAAGTAGTATCTCATTTTGGTTTTGATTTTCTTTCCCCTAATAATTAAGGTTGCTAAGCATCTTTTGTGGATTTGTCCATTTGCATATCTTCTTAGGAGAAATATCTATTCAAGTCCTTTGCCCATTTTTAATTAGACTTTTTTTATTGTTGTTGAGTTCTAGTTTTGTATATATTGTAGCTATTAACTCCTTATCAGATAAATAACTTGCAAATATTTTCTCCCACTCCATAGCTTGCCATTTCACTTTTTTTTATTTGGGGACAGAGTCTTGCTCTGTTGCCCAAACTGAATGCAGTGGCATGATCTTGGCACACTGCAGCCTCTACCTCCCAGGTTCAAGTGACTCTTTCACCTCAGCCTCCCAAGTAGCTGGGATTACAGGTGCCTGCCACCACACCTGGCTAATTTTTGTATTTATAGTAAAGATGAGATTTCACCATGTTGGCCAGGCTGGCTTCGAATTCTTGACCTCAGGTGATCCACCCACCTTGGCCTCCAAAGTGCTGGGATTATAGGCGTAAGCTACCATGCCCAGCCCATCCATTTCACTTTTTGGATTGTGTCCTTTTTTCATACAATTTTTTTTTTTTTTTTTAGAGGTAGGGTTTTGCCATGTTGGTCAGGCTGGTTTTAAACTCCTGGCTTCAGATGATCCACCCACCTCAGCTTCCCAAAATGCTGGGATTACAGGGGTGAGCCACCGCGCCCTGCCCAATCATACAAGTTTTTTTTTTTTTTTTTTAATATAGTCTAATTTATCTATTTTTATTTTGTTGCCTGTCCTTTTGGTGTCATATCCAAGAAATCATTGCTAAATCAAATGCCATAAAGCTTTCCCCCCTATGTTTTTTCTAAGAGTTTTACAGTTTTAGCTTTTGTGTTTAGGACTTGATCCATTTTAATTTTTGTATATGGTAAGGTAAGGATCCAGCATCATTCTTTTGCATGTGGATATTCAGTTTTCCCAACACCTGTTTGTTGTAGAGATTGTCCTCTCCCAATTGAATGGCTTTAGCACCCTTGTTGACCATATGTGCAAGGATGTATTTCTGGGCTTGTTTTTTTTTTTTTTTTTTTTGAGACGGAGTTTCGCTCTTGTTACCCAGGCTGGAGTGCAATGGCACGATCTCGGCTCACCGCAACCTCCGCCTCCTGGGTTCAGGCAATTCTCCTGCCTCAGCCTCCTGAGTAGCTGGGATTACAGGCACCCGCCACCATGCCCAGCTAATTTTTTGCATTTTTTTTAGTAGAGACGGGGTTTCACCGTGCTGACCAGGATGGTCTCGATCTCTTGACCTCGTGATCCACCCGCCTCGGCCTCCCAAAGTGCTGGGATTACAGGCTTGAGCCACCGCGCCCGGCTCTGGACTTGTTTTTTTTCCATTGGTTTGTATATCTGTGTTTATGCCAGCACCACACTCTTTGATTAATTTGTAATAACTGTTGAGATTAGGTAATAGGAGGCCTCCAACTTTGTGCATCTGTTCATCTTTTTCAACATTATTTTGGCTATTTGGGATTCCTTGAGACCTTACAGAAATTTTTGGATAGATTTTTTTTAATTTCCGTGAAAAGCACCATTGGGATTTTTATAGGGATTGCATTAAATCTGTAAATTAGGCAGGGCGTAGTGGCTCATGCTTATAATCCCAGCACTTTGGGAGGCCGAGATGGATGGATCACCTGAGGTTGGGAGTTTGAGACCAGCCTGACCAACATGGCGAGACCCCTGTCTCTTAAAAAAAAAAAAAT